CCTAGGTGGAGGATTAGGCAGCTCTAAAAATGTAATGGGCAAAGAACCCGGTGTGCAATCTCTTTTTGGATGCGCCACACATTTTAATTTCATTCAAAATCGTAGCGGCACCTAGGTGCGGTTTGGCCCATGCATTAGCATTTGGGACGGGGAGATGGAAGGCTTGCGCTCTGAACAACTCACGCCCGGAATTTGATCTCTCTTGTGCGCGCAGTAATCCACCACTACACCACTTCCGCCCAGGGCGGCTATTTTCTGGAACTTGTTCAGATGAGAGCGTAGATTTGAACCCTCCAACAAATCCAGCACTATTCCCAAACCTCTTCCATGAAAAAAATCGCAGACGGTTTGGTTCTTTGATCGTGAGTGTACATTCGTGATCGATAGTCGCTCAATAGTGCAACGGATCAGATTCTTTTCGCTGATCGGTGGGGTGATAAATTATCAGTTATCAGATGAAAACAGTTTAAGCCCATAGAAATGAACTTCCTGATAACCATGTGAATATAAGCGGCGCTCGTAGTGAAGTGATTATCGGAAAATCTTCTTCTCCTCCACAGCTACCGTAGTTCTACCGTAACCCGCGCAAGGTCTTTCATATTATCCTTTCAGAATGTCTTTGCCAGTTCTCAGTCTTGCGCTCGTCACCTTTGCCTTTGCGGCTCCACCAATTGTACCTCCAGTGAATCTGAAACCATGTGTGGACGGTGTCAACAATGTCGTCCAGATTAAGGATATTCATGACGGTAGGTGTGCTGAGGAATTTGCTTTACTAGACCATGCAGACCTTAAGGAATGGGATACGCCACGTCTTGGACTCTCAGCTGAAATCTTCAGACTATTTGAATGCAACTTCGGCTAATACAATCTTTAAGCCATTATTCCCATGCCAACATTTGTGCCTCTACGCTAGCATTGTAGCAGCTTTCCGTGAATTGGAAAATGAAGCACTGTTCGGGGAAAAAAGTGTGGATAGGTAAGTCCCTCCTCGACTAGGGAAGGTAGCGTTTACTCTAAGGGGCGGAGAAGGCTTTGCACTGGTTCTCTGAGGATAGAAGACTCCTTAGTTTGAGTTCGATCGGCAGGTGTTTACGAAAAGAATGGGAACAAGACCTCAGAAAATCCAAGAGTGGCGGAAAGAGATGAAGCTGGGGAATTTTCTCTAGCTCGTGAATTCCCTTGGCGGAAAGCTACGACCCACGACAAGCGCGTTCTCCCAAGCCTCCCTGCCGCTCACTTTGAAAACGCCCCTCTTTCTCGGCAACACCCTTCAGCGCTTATCGCTTGCGCTACACCCCAAATTCCTTGAATCAACAGAATAAAAAAAACGTTGTCATTCATCCCTCTAGGATGCGCCACACCCTCTACTGTTATTCAGAATCCGTACTGGTAATTGAGTGTCGATTTTTGGTTCGAAGTTCCATGAGACAGATGGTGCCCAAGTTAGTGAATCTATCCTGCCTTGCGAGTTTGACACCAATCAATAAACCCACAGATGCTTGGTTGGGCTGGACCAGTCAATCCTGAAATTTGACCCCAAAACCGCGCTGGATAAACGGCCACTTAAAACAACATCACCGCTCCAAGATATGAAGAGAATTAAGTGTATGAAATCAACCAACTCCAGGACCGATAGCAATTCATGCAAGGGATATGGTGGCTCAGACCTACGACGCCAATGGAAACCCATCTTGCTACTACGGTCGCGCTGCAGTGTCTCTTCCTGGTTTTATCAAGCTGGTCAGGTATGTACAACATCACTCCAAAACCCACATCTCTTTTCTCCTTCGCCTATACAATGACTTGTAAGCATAGTGGCTGACGACGTAAGCAAACCAGCCCTTTTGGCACATCGGCTGGGACCGTATGCTGAATGTTGGGGAGGGGATGGGGTCCCCAACGGTCGACGGTTTACTTCAACTCGGTTGGTACGATAGGAGAGTACTGACGCAAGTGGTGCAGCTGGTCCAGTAGCTTCGCCAGAAGGACCGGTCTGCTCACCCTTGGACTAAGCCTAGGAGAGGGGACGGACCCGTCCTCTCTTTAAGGCTTAGTTCTAAGGTAAGCGCCAAATTGTGGCGGTTCTAAGGACCGCGTTGAAGTTGTCCGTCCACCGTCGGGACACCATCCCCTCCCCAACATTCAGCATACGGTCCCAGCCGATGTGCCAAAAGGGCTGGTTTGCTTACGTCGTGTCGAAGATTACGGTAGGTAATCGATTGTTTTGGGCATAGTGCTGAAATATTACGGTAGTCCATATCGATCGTTTCTAGGCGAAAGAGAAAGGGGGAGGGGAGCAGGTGTTCATCACGTCCAGATTGCAGTGAGATTTCTGCCTGTGTTAAAAGGTACTTAACAACTTCAACCGTGAAAAACGGAACGCAAGTCTGGGCAGAATGGCTGAGAAGAGGCCTAGAGAAAGGTGGTCCATGGTTCCCGAGGGTCCTCCGAGCCGCCGAGGTCATCATTTCTTGCAGAAAATTTCCAAAATTCTGAAACTATTACTATTTTCTTGGAGACCCAGAGGTCGAGTGAAGAATCTACGCTCTCCCAAGACATTTGAAGCTTACGCCCATGAGAAAAACGTAGCCGATTAGGTATACATAAAGGGAAAAAAAGAGTTTCGGAGGAATGTGAGATCCAAAAAGTACGAGGTGTGGGTCAGGAGATCTCAATTCCGTGTGTGCCAAAACTGACTCTCCGCGCGCATCGTGGCGTAATACGCTACCTTCGCTGGGGCTGTAATGAAGATGTCGCGCGCAGCGCCACATATCCCTCTGTTGTCGTTCTTCCGCAACCGTTCGAACTCCCTAACTGAACAAAGTGGGTATGAGACTCTGAAAATCTCAAGGACAATTGGACGAGTTGATTCTGACAGCCTTTATGTTTCAGGTAAGGTTGTTGTTAGTTCACCAAATACCGACATGAAAACGGCCGAGTTCAAGATGACACTGAAAAAGAACTCGATCTTCATCGGAACTGTCTGCGATAATGGAGTCGCAAAGAAAGCTCAAGTACCACCAGAGGCATGGTAGGCTTAATTTGTCTCAAAATTTGTCCCATATATTCGCCCAGTAAATATGATTTAGCCATCACAAGATCTACCCAGAGATTGGTGACAAGTTCTTGGAGATGCTCAGCACCCCCGGCAGCTACGACATGGAAGTGGTAATAATTACTTGTACCAATGCTTAACTACTTTTCGAAGGCTGCCCTAGCAATAGCCTAACCGGCCAATTTTTCAGATTGAGAAGGAGGCTCATCAGTCGAACATCATCAAACTGCCAGCAATCAGCAGCGCTTTGAACAACTTTGTCGTTAAGGTAGGAGCTTTAATTTAATGTGTGTGCCATTAGGAAGAACCTGTTCGAAATACAGTTCAACAAGCCATATACAAAATTGCGCTGCATTTGTTAAAAATCCGGTACGCAACAGAATCCATCCCTATCCTTATCTAGCACTATTCAACGACGCAAATTCTGAAAGGAAATAGAGTGCGTGGCGCATCCCAGTGACGAGTTTCTGAAGAACAAAACCTTTTTCGAAGCCAGCTTGCTTCCTCAAAACCATTTTTAGCTTTTTTCGACCCCCTCCCCTGCATGGGTTCCCAGAATTATACAGCCTTTAATTACTTGAACCCGTGCAATTTTCTATGAACTTTTCCCAGTTTTTCCCGAGTTTTCCGAAAGTTCTTCGGAGCTTTTTTGAGGGTCCACTGCTATTTCCTCGAAAATCGGTGGGGAGACGGTGTGTTCAATGGTGCTGATTCAAGGAGCTATTAGACGACAGCAATTGCCATCGGCTCTACTCGGCGACCTCAGTGGGCGGGGTTCCCAGAGTAGGTGGGATCTGTTAGTTTCTCCACATGCTTTTGGGGCCATTGGAAGTTTTTTGGTTCCATTCAAAGCGCGCTGTCACGGGCAATTGCAGTGTTCCAATCCTCAGCGAATATCCCTGCCATACCGAGATACGAGCAGAAGTGGTGTAGTGGTGAGTGGCGCCACTTATCACGCCCACGAATTGGTGATCAAGTCCCTTTCGAATTTCTCCCGAATCATCTGGGCCTTATCCATCAAAAAAAGATTGGTACCAAAGCTGTCTGGGAGGAAGAAACCCCGACTGGTCTGGCAATTTTTCGCACGTGTAGGGTAAATCACATCCAAATGCAGGTACGATTTCAAACGGAAGTGAGATGCGTGGCGCATCGGTGAGGAAGAATCAAACGTTCCCTTTTTATTCTTCTTATTCTGAAGAATAACTGCGATTCCATCCTGCTCTCCTAATTTGGAAACACTTTTTCTGAATATTAGATTTTTTTCGTATTCTAATTATTACAGTGCATTTTACAGGGTGACTGGCAGGCACAGATCGCACTCGTTCTTGGAGGTCAGACAATCGCACATATCAAGGCTCCATCAAATACTGAATGGCTCTATGTCAACTTAAGCCTGGCAGTTCATTGGAGTTACACCTAGGCAGTGATTCACTGGAATTCCGCAATAAAAAATGAAATATGCAGGAACTTTATCACTACCGTATTCTAAGGGCGGAAGTGGTGTAGTGGCAAGTGGCACGCTTACCACGCGAGCGGTCCGGGGATCAAATCCTGGGTCGTGAGTCGCCCGGGCCAACCAAGCCTTCTAATCTATGGGGTCTTGTGAAACTTGGGGTCAAACTTGAGCTTTCCTCTGTGTTCTTTGCCAAGAAAGGCTGGAACACAGACGGTGTGGGAACAGCGGCTGACCCAGCTCCGAATGCCAGAGGAGCGAGGGACAAAAGCCTACTTCTGACCTTCGCAGAGAATGAAAATCTCAGGATGGGTGATACTGATACTGTGCTGTATGGCAAAAGCTTGAGGGCAAGAGGTCACAGTGATCATGGGCTGCTGTTATGGCGAGAGGGCGCAGACAATGGCAGGGCATTGACGCAGTTCAAAAACAC